ATGCATGTACATGTAAATATGACATAGAAGTGCACATGCTTGTACACACACACACACACATTTCTTCCATATTTTACACTTAACCTCTTTGAGGAAGGACATCATAGGCATTCTATTTCTGCAATAATGTCTAATAATCTCTAGGCTACAAAACCATGAATAATTTATCCAACTTATATTATAGGGAGAAAATTGTAGGGAAATTCTAAGGTAAATTTAATTCAGGCTTGGCAGTTCAAAAATAAACTCTCTTCTATGAAAACAGAATCATTTGTGTTGACAAATACTTTGAGTCTCACTGGCACTTCATCTTCAAGACAGACATCTTTAGAAATCAGGATGCCAATTCACACCAAACCACAGTTGTCTTTGTAGCCATTCATCCCTAAGGAGTTGAAGAAATTAGCTTTCTCCCAGGTTTAAAAGCATTTACTCTTTCTCTCAGGAGAACCTGGAAGTCAGTATTCTCTTACCAGAAGAGGAAGGTCGATGATTATAACAAACTTGAAAATTATTTTTAAAATCATCAAATTGTGGACCCTAATTCCACCCAATTGATTATCATTCATTCTGCCCTAAATTTGTAAACCAGTGCTTCTGTCTGTAACTGTTGGTCTTTTATCTATTGGCCTCATTCTTGTCACATGATATATTTTCCTTATGTTTTTTATGTTCTAAATAGTCCTGCCCTGGCTAATTTTGGATGTCAAGTTGTCATTAAAAGAACCAATGCTTGCATTTTTAAATAATTTAAATTATCTTTGCTTTAAATCATCTTTAAATTATTTGGTCATCACAAGTAACAAAGTGACATTTCATAGTATCATTTGCAAATCACAGAGCACAAATAATCCTTAATTCTTTTTGAAAGGAAAGTCGGGAGGATGTTTTCTGTAGTTTCATCCATGAACTCTTAACAAAAATGTTGTATTGTTTCTCTTCAAAAAAGAGAGCGCCATGCAAAAACAAATTCCTGTTTTTATATGAATTGAAATTTATGACACCCTTGAGAATATATGGTAGAAATAAGTATTCTCAAAATCCCTTTGTTGTCAACTCCTTCCTGATTTTCGAAAGTTAATGTGATAACCAAAGTGGAAAGGACTCCACAATGTTCAAATGAGAAATCACCTTATTAGAAGCCCATTTTATCCCAGGAACTGCTCGTAGGTATGCAGAGACTAAACATGCATGGTCCCTTCCCTGTTGTAACTGCACTTTCATTACTAATAGAATATGGACTTGAAATCTGTAGAGCTTTACCATTTTTAATAAAATTATATATATATATATATATATATATAATTTTATATATATATATATGGCACAATCTTTATATATATATATATGGCACATTAAGGTTCTCTAGGGAAGAGAAAAGAAAAATGGTCTGTATGAAAGAACGAAGCAATTTTCTTACTTCCCTTTTCTTACTGTATACCTGGCAAAGGATTCCCCTTGTTGGTACCTAAGCTCTGTAAGTTGTTTTCACTTCTTGACTAATCAGGGGAGCATTGTCAGTTGTCAAAAGATGTGCTTATATAATGATGAGATAATTAGAGGTGACTGTCCTGTCATAATCGAAGGTATGGATCCAGATAATTTTAGAGTTATTGCATATGCAAACACCTTGCTATATACTGATGAATAAAACAAAACATTAAATCACAAAATAGTTTTCTTTGGCTTGCCCCTGGTTAGTGCATTAACAGATGTTAAAATGCACTATTAAAATTCCATATTTAGAAGCCAAAGAATTGTAGAAAGTTATTCTGTATTGTGAAATAAATCAGTTTCTTAACTCCAGTTAATTTGCAGATCTGCAACTATATATATCAATCCTCACAATTCTTATTTTTTATTTTATTAAGACTGAAGAAATCATCTCTTCATTTATAGACTTATACTTTTCAATTGATTGAAGTTAAAATGAATTACAGTTACAACATGGGAAAGACTAAGCAATTTAAAAAATATTGAAGTAATTTTTATATTATAGCATTGACGATGCAGCAAACAATTTTAGTAAACATTTTATCTCCAACAGCAAGTGAAAACCACATTCTCATGGGATATACCATGTGTTCTTTATTTCCACAATGTTTAAAATGCTGGAAAATAGTTGTTATGTGACATAAATACATAAAATTTGTGTTCTTTTTAATGTTTTGTTCACCGGAGCAAAATTACTTTAAAGGGAAATAGCTTCCTTAACTGAGAGAATTTTTAAATAGGGATATTTCTACTATTTTGGTTTTTTTTATTTTTACAAAGGTTAATTATTTTTACCCCAATATAAAATTGTGTGTGTGTTGTGATTCATCGGTAATGGTGAAATATGCTATTCACCCTGCCCTGTTTCTTCAGAAAGTCATAAAATGGTCTTATTTATGTGTTGCAAATTGCCTTAGCTTTGCACTTTAGCACCACCTGGTGGACAAAATATTTTTTCTCCACCGTTAAATTTATCTCCTTCACTTTATATCCAATTATGGCATATCTTAATTATAAAAATATTTAATCTTAAAGATTATGTTAAACAATATCAGGTAAAAAATCTGAGATGTATCCTAAGTACTAATGACTTAGATATTCCTAAGTTAAATATCTAAGTTTTTCTAATACTACATGAATATATATAGATTTTAATAGTCTGTTAAGTACATATATAAAAATTGTGGGGTGTTTTTCCTTTTTACAATTTAATATTTTTCTCATTTACATCTTTTTTATAGAATTAAGTAAGTGTAAGAAGTTTTCAGTGCCTTAGTTGAAAATTATGGTTTAAGTTAGATTATTTGAATTTTGAAAATACTTTATGAAGAATTTTTATACAATTAACTCTTATTGTGATAATAATTTATGTACAATTAAAATTCAAACTACTGTTTTAACCATTTCTACTACAATATATGCCATTCTCATGCTTATTTTCCCACTTATAATTAAAATGTATTGCAGCCCTATGTGTATTAGTTCTTAGTTTTTAATACTTTAAATTTTTTCCAGAAGATAAATATGATATTTTCAAGTAAAAGACAATTCTATTTTAAGTTAGTTTTGATAATTTAATACATGTTTGTCTTTGTCTAGTTCCACACTTCTTTGAAATATAGTGAATGGTTTTCCTATGAAATACAGAGAGCCTGGCTGTTTGTGGCTCAGAGGTTGAGTGTCAGCCTATGAATCAGATAGTCACAATTAGATCCCTCTTTAGGGCACATGCCCTAGTTGTGGGCTCAAGTGGTCCTATGGGGAGTGTGCAGGAAGCTGTCGATCAATGATTCTCATCATTGATGTTTCTCTCTCTCTCTCTACCCCATTCTCTCTCTCTCTCTCTCTCTCTCTCTCTCTCTCTCTCTCTCTCTCTCTCTCTCTTCCTCTCTGAAATCAATATAAATATATTTTTAAAAATACAGATTTCACTGTGTTTATTGGGAATACATTGTATGCCCTGATAAAATTGGAGGAGGGAGGCTGTAAATTTGAATTCTGTGACAGTCAAGGCTTAGTAACTAAATAAGATCTGATGATATTCAGCTAGTACTAGTATATATGTTCTAGCTTCACACTTTTAATATGTCATTTAAGATAAAATGATAATAACCTTCATTAAGATATGCATCTTAAAATGAAGTTATTTACAGCAGTCTCTCCTGACCCATAATCCAAAACTTCACTTCTTATGTTTCAGTTACCAAGAACAGCCAAGGTCAGAAAATACTAAAGGGAAAATTCCAGAAATAAACAATTCATAAGTTTAAATGAGCACCATTCAGAGTAGTTTGATGAAATCTATGCCATCCTGCCCTGTTCTATTTTATTGTTACCCAGGGTCCCAGTGCACAAATTTGTGCACCTTGAAAGAAACTGTGGGCCATGAGGCTGGGGTGGGCCCAAAGGTGGGTTAAGGCCATACTCCACACCCCTGCCCAGTCACTCCCACTGTGGTACCCAGCCCCCTGTCTACCAGCAGCCCTGCTCCTGCCACAATCACTCCCACATGCTGATGGCACCTGCCCCATTTGCACTCACTGATGGAGTGGAGAGAGTGGGCCTGGTGCTGTCAGTGGGTGCTAGCAGCTGCTGCTGCCCCATCGCCCCTCAGGAGCAGGGGGAGACAAAGAAGCCCTCAAGGGCGATGAGGGCTGGCAGCCTTTACTAGTACCAGCTGTCAATGCCAAGTGATCAGAACCAGCACAGGGGACCCACAGTAGGTACAAATGGGGCCGTCGCCAGCAGCAGGTGCAAGAAGTGGCTGCTGGCCCCAATCTCCCCTCAGGAGCAGGGGCAACTGCCATTCACACCCATTGCTGGTGCTGAAAGATCAGGGCTGGCACTAGGTGCTGGCAGCAGGTGCAAGTGGGGCCAGTGCTGGCAGCAGGTGTGAGTGTCTGGTGGGACCACAGTGCACAGGAGCAAAGAATTTTCAATAACCACCAGAAGCTCACCCCAATGACAGCAACCAGTGCCCCACCTTGGTCTGATGCCCCTGCTCACCTGCTCCACCATCCTGCCGGGGCCAATGTCCACCATGTTCCACGTGCACCCCCTGGTGATCAGCACACATCATAGCGACTGATTGTTCTGGTTTTCAGTTGTTCAATTGTCCTACCATTCAGTCTATTTACATATATATATATATATAATTATTGCCATTAACCTCTCATTGTGCCTAATTTAGAAATTAAACTTTATTATACGTATGTACAGGGTGGGGCAAAAATAGATTTATAGTTATTTGTATGGAACAACATACAATAATTAATAAATAATGATACAAGAATGAAGTCTGTTTTTTACATACTCACAACTATAAACCTACTTTTGTCACATGCTCTATGAAAAATGCATAGTCTATTTAGGGCTTGGTACTATTTGTGGTTTCGGACATTTATTGAGGGTCTTCGAATGTATCCCCTGTGGATAAGGGGAACAACTGTACTTTGTTACTTCAAGAAAATACTTAAAATCTCTGTCTTTTCCCTTTTTTTCCTAAGGCCTTGGATTGTATACTGTAAGCTCAACATATGGAGATACCATTATCATGCCTTGCCGACTCGATGTACCTCAGAATCTCATGTTTGGCAAATGGAAATATGTAAGTGGGACCTCCCTTGGATTTGGTTAATTTGGCCTCTAGTTTTTGAAATAAAATTCCATCTGTGAGTGAATGTGAATTTCAAGTGAACATATTGGAAACATTCAGCTGTAGTACAAATGTAAGAGGGTAGAATTCATGTGTTGAATATATGAAAAGAATTCCTAAGTTTTACATAGCAAATGCTATTTTAAAATAAAGCCAATAAACACCTAATTCTTAGGTCATATTGATCTGAAAAATCCAACCTTAAGTGTTAGGGTGGAAGGAAAGGCAGAGTTCCAGGGAAAAGCACGTGGTGCACAGGACAAGTCTCGTGGGAGACGGCAGCCACATGCTCATGCTCTGCTTAGTGTGCCTGTTGCCGTGGCCAGCGCTCCCAAGTATTCACTGAAAATTAATCATCAATACAAACTCTCATTTCTGGTGATTTAGTCTCAGAACTGTGTTGATATGGTAGGTCCCTTTTACATTTAACATTGTTGACTTTACCCATTTTTTTCAAATAAGCAAATTCTTATTTTTCCAAGTATCAAGGTACAGATAAATCTGGAAATGGAGGGTAGTTATCCTGGTAGGTGGCTGTGTAGTAGTGAGGTAACATTAGCTGACAAAATGTCTCAACTTAGTTACCAAAACCAACAAACGTGTTTTATGAGATGTGATTTCCCAATGGTGGATCACATGAGACCCATCGTAGCTTTATAAGCTTAAAATAGACATGTTTCCTTGAACATAATGGCAAATGTGCCCCAGCTTCTTGATATATATAGATAGTAAAATATATTTGAATAGGAAAACGATTTGTTAGAGAATTTTTGAAGTTCATTTATTACAAAACTTTTCAGAGCCTTTTATATATTAGGTGCATTTTGTATTGTCTTAGTTTGATTGATTTCTTAGGTTTATTTTTTTAAATATATTTTATTGATTTTTTTTTTTTTTTACAGAGAAGAAGAGAGAGGGATAGAGAGTTAGAAACATCAATGAGAATCATTGATCAGCTGCCTCTTGCACACCCCCTACTGGGGATGTGCCCCCAAGGTACATGCCCTTGACCAGAATCGAACCTGGGACCTTTCAGTCCGCAGACTGACTCTATCCACTGAGCCAAACCGGTTTCATCTCTTAGATTTATTTAACCATACATTCCCACCCTCCCTCCCAGATATCTGTAAAAATAAACATTCTACAGAGCACACTTTAGGAAATGTGGTCGGTGTGCTTAAGGCTGCACCCAAAGGGTGGTGTAACACACTATTTTAAAATATGATAAAATAGGGGTTCTGAAGTCAGATCAGCATGTTCTATCACACACTCACTGTGGGATTCTGAGCGGTGAATTCATCCCTGTGTTCACATAGATAAAATGAGTAGATAAGAATAATCTTCCCTGTAGTATTGTGAGGGTTACATGAAGTAACTCATGACAGAGTGCTTGGCACATGGATAGGTGCATGGAAAATATAAGCGGTTGTGACTGGAGCTGTGAAGCCCAAAGCTCACTGCATGTGAGGGGCGTGTGAAAGGAGAGCAAGGCCATGCGGCCACACAGCACTTCATTGCGCTCACTCACCTGGTTACCCGGTGCACACTAAACTATTCCTGACTTCCTATAAAAGTGGACATAGGAAGTTAAGGCCTATGAGGACAAAGTCTGTTTGCACCCCTAAAATTCCTGCGGACTGGAGACTACCACAAAGTCTATTTGTACCCCTTAGATTCCTATGGTCTAAAGACTATGACCTGTTGAGTCAAATTTACTGCCAAAATGAGCAGAGCACAGATGGTGCACGCTTCTGTGATCACAGACTTTTCTGAGGATAACCCAGGGAATAATTTTCACCTAAGCTGCACTGGCACGGTGGTGGTGGAAACAAACAATAATGGCAATGTTCAAATGGTTAATTTAGTAAAAAGCTTCAGCAATAAACCGATGAGATGCATCTGATGTACCATGTGCTCTGAAAACTGTTGATTTGCAGGCATAATATACAAGATCTAAGTTAATGTAGCCTGAAAGACAAATGGCAGGTTTGGAAACAATGAAAGGGAGCAAACATTGATGCATTGTCTCTCCCCCTACTGTGTGGCCATCTCCCAGGGAATGGAGATCCTAACTCCCTGTGCTCCCCTTTGCACCCACTCCCACAACCTCTTCGCCTATATCTGTCTCAGTGCCCGCTACGGAGGCAGCCTCTGATGGCTGTGGAGAGTGCTGGTAGGTAGTCTTAATGGAGCCAGATTGCTGCGCTGCAACCTTGCTTTGCTGAGATACACTAGCTGGGCCTTTGGAGAAGTTATGTAACCAGCCTCTGTCTCCATTGTCTAGCCTGGCACTAATATTGTAACTCTGAAGGTTGTTTTGAGTATTACATTAATGAATGCATAGAAAGCTCAAAGAAAGCACCTGGTATATAGTTAAGTGCTCAAAACTTAACTATTATTTATTGCAAAAGTGAATGAATACACACATTTGAGGATATTCAACCATCTAAAACTTGAGAACTCCAAGGTTAAATTAGTGTTTATTAGTGTGAGCCCTTGTTACAAAATACCAGGGACATGGACTTAAACTACAGATATGTCCCACAGCTCTGGAGGCTGAGAAGACCAAGATCAAGGTGCTGGCTGGCACATTTGATTCGTGATGGGGTCCTCCTGATTGGTAGACAGCTGACAGTTTGCTATGTGCTCATGTAACCTCTCCTCTGTGCTCTCATAGAGAGACAGACACCACCCATGACTCTTACCTTCTTATAAAAGGCACTAATCCCCAAGGAGTGCACCATTGCCAGAACCTCATCTAAACCTGTTTACCTCCTAAGGGCTCTGCCTTCCAATGCTAACACATGGGGGCTAGGACTTTCACACGGATTAGATGAGGACATAAACATTGCACCCAGAACAGTCATAAATACTAATAATTTTTAAAATGCAACACTTTGAAATTTGCCATGCACTTTAAAATATTTTGTCGTTTTTATTTTCTCAAAGGTCCTGGGGTAGGTAGAAAAGAGATTCCCCCTATTTTTTTTATTATTAAATTCCTTAATAAGTAAAAGAATTCTTATGGGAGCGGGTATCTATGTAAGAAATGAATTACATGTCCTAGTGCTTTTGGCATAAATGTGTATGCCCAGATTATATTTTATTTTGATAAAAAAAACTTTCATATGAAAGCCCCTCGAGCTAAGTTTTATGCCTCGATAGCAAAACTATGGATCTTAGTGATTAATCTGCTTCTATCGCTAAATGGACATCACTGTTCCATAAGGGCAAATACTGTTCCTCCATGAAGAGTCATTAAACTATGCTATGTGTAAAGGTCAGCTGTGTCAGTCTTGGCTGAAAATGAAAGGAATGGTCATTTAGAGCAATGTATGTGCATTAAAGTAATGAATATGCAAAAGAATCCCCCATGACTGCTAAAGGCGTGTTTGCAGCTCAGGTGTATGCTTGCTGTGATGATTAGCTGAATATCACTGTGTACATTTGTATATTTGTTTACATCTATTTTTTTTCTTTACATGAGACACAAGACCAGCTCTTATTACCATAATTTTAAAACAGTCACTCATTCTGCCCTTCAAATGCAGGGAAAGCTCAGATTCCCAGAGCTTTGCCCTTCCCTCTTCAGACATTTAAGCTGGTGCCTATAAAACAGCTTTCAGCTTCTCATACAGAGATTAATTTTCTGTACTCAAAGATTTATGTGAGGCCTGTATCCATAATTCTTTTTGGACACAACTGTAAATATCAGTGGAGGAATATGGCCAAATTTTTTTGTTGTTTTAGATATGATCCTGAAACATCTGCATAAGCTTGTATTTAAAATGTATTATTGTTTTAACTTTCAGGAAAAGCCTGACGGCTCCCCAGTATTTATTGCCTTCAGGTCCTCTACAAAGAAAAGTGTGCAGTATGATGATGTGCCAGAATACAAAGACAGATTGAGCCTCTCCGAAAACTACACTCTGTCCATCAGTAATGCGAGGATCAGCGATGAAAAGAGATTTGTGTGCATGCTAGTGACTGAGGACAACGTGTATGAGGCTCCTACAATAGTCAAGGTGTTCAGTAAGTAGTCGGCAGTATAAGTGCTAAGTGGGATTGATGGCTGGTACTGGAAAATGTTCCTGAGAAAGAAGAGAACTCTGTAGTGTTCCCATAAGCAGGTATCTATGTAAGAGGATTTCTAGTGATCTTCATTCTCCTTCATTCTGTCAGTGAGGAAAACAAGACAAAACAAAACAAAAATTCAAAAAGGATTTTTAAAGTGAGAGACTAAAAGAATATTCTCTGTTGTTTTTTCGGAGAAAATTTCCTGTGATGTGAAGTACTACTATGTGAGAATTGGCACGTGATCTTTAATATTTACTGACATATACAAATAAATATTCTGTGATATCACATATTTATACAACACATACACATAATCATGCATGTCTTGCACACATATATATGTTGTAGGCAGAATTTTAATGTATAAAATATAAGCAAAATGCAAACTATCTTACGATTTAGACATCTAAGCTTTATATGTGAATGTGTGTATGTATAACCCCCTGCCTTCCTCCACATACACACTCATCCTAACCTTTAATGCTTGCTGATTTATTTCTTCAAAGTGTTCAGTAGGTGTATAAAAGTGCCCTAAAATAACAAAATGTACCATGTCCTGAATGTGTATGTAGAAAACAAGAAGGGGAAACATAGAATAGGGTTAAAAGAAGAGGGTGGAAGAAACTGGAGTATCTATGGCAAGGCTCCCCTGCCCAACAGTTAGTGTGACTTGGCAAATAGCTATGCAAATGAGTGACATGAGGAGTTCTAATTAAATTATTTTATCTTTTATTATTCAAGTAAAATGCCCCACCTCTGGTGCATCATAATATTTTAGAAAATACAGGGAGAAAACCATCTCCAAAGCTTCAGAATGCCAGTCTTTTTAATTAGGAAAGAAGATCTCATGTTTCAGTTGTTTTCCCTCTGCTTCCTGATGACTTGGCAGCACCTAGAAATAATTAAAATAAATAGGGAAGGAAGAAACCGAGAGGGCTTTGGTATTGCAGCAATAAGCATGGATTTTTCCTGTTTCTCTTGTAATAGCCTATGCAACCAAGGAGGACTGTCCCTCAAGTATTTATAGGAACTTCAAAACTCCTGTGGACTTCACGACACAGATTCAAAGAGTGCTTTGTTCTCCGGAAGAAACTTGTAAAAGCGTATTACAGGTTTCAGCTGATTACCTTTTAGCTTAGAAGACACTTGCCAGAAACCATCCACTTTTCTCGATTATTTTAGGAATCAAACCAACTGTTAAGTGTTTGTCAGACATGAGGCCTTTCCTTAAACACCCCAAATAATCCACAACCTGTATTTGGCAATGGCCCATGTATGTTTTCTTTCTTTTATTTCATTGTGATTCCATTAGGAAGATGGATGAGACACTGCTGGGGACACTCTCTAAAGAGAACCTTTTTTTTTTTTTTTTTTTTTTTTTTTTTTTTAATGAGGTCATGATGACATAAATGTAAGCATATTCAAGAATGTACCCCAGCAGGTACACAGATAAAGTCACAGCACTCCAAAGTTTGTGTGTTTGATTTGCCATTGTCGGGTTTCTTTTTTACTGGATTAAAATCACCTAATCCCAAAATAGTATACAAGAAAGTTGAGAAAGTCCAGGTTGTTACATTTGTGACAATTTTCAGACTATACTCTTTAAAAAAAAAAATGCCCTACAGCAATCAGAAAAAAAAAATCAGTTGGTCTAATTGGATAAAATTTGCAAACCCTTTTGAAATACAGAGGATTTCTGATTGTAAAAACAAACTCACACCCGCATACCCTCAGCACCCCTACCCCCTTCTCTTTTGAATGTTGTGGAAAACAAAGTGATTCTCAGAAACAGAATTTGCATTCCAGGCCCTGAGCCAGGGAGAATTTAAATAGACAAGTTACAAGCTCTTGAAAATGGAGTTTTATACTAGAAACCATGGGACTCTGCAAGGCTTGTCAAATGAACAGCACAGCTCATGATAAAGAAAATGTGTACAAGAGCATATATGTAGGGGCTTCGCTTCATTTTTTAAAAGAATGAATTTACTTTGGGTCACTTTTCATAAAGCAAACAGCAGCTGTGGCAGGCAGGGAGGCTTTCATGCTATGCATGTATATATTGCAGTCACTTCAGAGTTACTAGGCTCATCAATCAGTCCTCTGTTTCCTTCTGTCAAATCACTTAGCAACAAGCACTGTGTACTACAGAACGGAGAGTAGTTAACATGAGCTAATCCCAGATCAGCTTTCTGCAGAGTGTCATCTCATGGGCAAAGTCAAATTGCATTTATTCAAACTAGGAGACTGATGACTTGATTACCTCTGATGTAGGGTTGTTTGTTTAGTTTTCACCTACACCTCAAATTCAAGAAATCATTTCAAGAAAGCAGCCCACAACACAATAAATCATGTGCTTTGTCACCACTAATACAGCTTTTTAATTTTTGGCAGTTGCATGGCATTAAAATCAAACTTTTTACATTTAATGTTCATCTGAAGTCAATACCATTGAAAAAGAAGAATAGACCTTTATATGTTCTCAAAGATTTACTACAGTCATTGGGCAAAGGTCTTAGAGGTCAAATGGTACCCAGATTGCCAAATGGCTGCTGTCAGTGGTGTCATGGAACAATCACGGAACTGGTCCTCAGGAGACTGAGCTTTGTTAGATGTGGTGTTGCCTGGAAGGGGTGGCTCAGTATGAACCAGAAGGTCATGGTTGGATTCCCAATCAGGGCACATGCCTGGAATGCAGGCTTGACCCCAATGGGTAGCAGGCAGAAGACAGCTAGTCAATGATTCTCTTTCATCATTGATGTTTCTATCTCTCTCTCCCTCTCCTTCTTCTATTTTTTTTTTAAATAATATGATGCTAATTTATACCCTTGGGCAAGTCACTTCATGGTAGGCTGGGGCTCAGAATCCCTCCTCATCACTAAAATAAATTCTTTGGACTAGAGGCCAGTTTTTCCACTGTGTTCCTAGGATCCTCTTGACAATTCTAGAGAGTTGAGAAGGTGAGGAGCTACTTCTGTTAGATTAGCTAGAATTCCACCTACCCAATATGTCAAAGTTTTCTCCTGGTAGTTTGTTCAGAGGGGAAATGAGGGAAAGCAGAAGGGCTTAACCTCTAAGAAATCATTTGAAACCATCAATCCAGGCTAATGTGTCCAGTCTCTTGTACGCTGGTGTCTGTAGTGTTAAAGAAATACTTGTTCCAAGGACATAGAGTCTGGTATGCACCTGGACCCGTTCTTCTCTCTGCTTTTCAGTTATTTTAGGACTTGCTTTGGATATTGTTCTCAATGTTTTATCAGAGTTGAGCATGCTTCTTCCTACCTCCCTGGGAAAGTCAGTCAACCTGCAAATAATTTTTCTAATGAAGGAAGCAGAAAGTGACCTATTTACCAAATGAAACCTAAATTGTATATTATATTTTATTCTAATTCTTTAAATATATTTTTTTAAAATTACCTTTTACATCTCATGAGGAAAATAAACTCAATCCATGCTCACAGTGGTTTACCTAAAGTACATCAGAATTTGTGAGAGGTGATTGCTAGCAAAGTACTGAGAGAAGCACGCTGAGTCAACCTCCCAGCTCACCTGCCTTTCCTTGCTCTCCTGCTACATCAAATGGAGCTCTCCCATGTCTGGTTTTATAAGAACACTCTACCTTGTGGGTGATTTAGAGCAATTTTGCATTCATCACTCCATCCTCCCTTGGCTATAAGACATTTGACAAAATTATTTTAATAATGAAAATAAATTTGGGGCATGATTTTTTTTTCAGTTCTATACTTTTTCGTTCAGCTCAGTTCTATGAATCCTTGGATCATATTAAGACATAATTCATGAAAAGTTTTTTAAAAAAAACTTTGGAATCAATATGCAATTTTGTTAAAATAGTACGTGTGTCCTCTTTTATAGTCTTCCAACTAATACTCATTGATTGTTGCAAGCTAATATAAGAGAAAATTACATACAGAGTATATAGTTAATATAGAGGGTTTGAAACAAAAGCTTAAAGAGAAAAATAACTCAAATAAATGCAATAGGTATTACTATTACTTCCATAATACCCACTGTGACTCCCTCTTCCAAATAAAAAGATGAATCACAGTGTAAAGAGGACTAAAGTTTAAGCATTCTTTCATCAAGGTTCTTTAGGTTTGTCAGTTTTATTTTATTGAATTAAGAATATATTTTTGAAGACATTAATAGAAGTTGGTCCTTTACACATGGCCAAGTATTCATGATCTTCTGTGAATTGATTAAGCATCACAGTATTCACCAGGCAAAGGAGAGAAATACATTTCACATATGAAAAAGCATGTTCTCAACTATCTAGGTGAACTAGAAAGTAGTGAGACTTAGGCAAACTGATTACCTACATTTTGTATTAAGAGCCTCAATTTTTTCAGAGGATCTTTCAAATCTCTCCATGTATTTCAGGCATAGATACTACTGAAAAACAAACAAAAAACATATTTTTTGTGTTAGTTTTGACTTGATTGAACACATAAATAAATTTAGTATTTTATTTCCCTTCAGCTCTCAGAGAGTTTTACTAAATTACTGATTTTAGTTCCCAAAGGATTTTTGTTTACCTATTTAAGCACCAGGAATTTTCATTATGTTTGAATATTTTGGTTGCAGACCTCTTTAAAATGTATTATATTTGCATTAAAACATCAATTCTCAACAGATTTAATGATTAGCAATAACTCAGAGTTGTAATTATGAACACAATGACATTACATTAAACATAGTGATCACATCAAGGCTTAATGATATATGGAAGGCTTCCCAGAAGTTGTTTATATTGAGTTTTTATCAGATTTTAATAAGTTTCTTGGTCATTTTTTGTTGTTTTTGTTTGTTTGTTCATCTTCACTAGAGCTTATTGGGAGGGAATGAGAGGGATATGGATGTGAGAGATACACATCGATGGGTTGCCTCCTGCATATATCCCAACCAGGGCCTGGGACCAAATAAACTGCAAACCCATATACATGCCCTTGACCAGGAATCAAACCTGCAATCCTTCATTGAGAAAGACTGAAGCTCTAATGGCTGAGCAACACTGGCTAGAGCTGATCACATCTCCACTAATAAAAGAGAAACATCCAAATTGACTGTTCCTCCGATACATCCACATACACTCCCACCAGCCAATCAGGAGCAAGTATGCAAATTAATCCAATAAAGATGACAGCAGCCATGGAGCTGGAGTGAACAGGAGGCTAGGTTTTCCCTGCGATGGAGGAAGCCAAGCTTCCCACCAGCCCTGGCTAGCCCTGGCTCTACTCAAGGCTACAAAGTATCAATTATAGAAGATAAATAAATCCCAGATACCTGCTTCAAGCTGGCCCTGGCCTCCACTCAAAAAGTTGCTGGGGGGGTGGGGAGGAGAAAAAGAGCTGGGAGCCTGGATCACCAGGGTGAATGTCCAGACTGAAAACAGCCCTCAGCTCCTCACCCAGGCTGACCAGGCACCCCAATGGGGTGAGAGTCCCTGCTGGTGGGGCTTAGCCAGCCTGTAAACGGCCATCAGCCCCTCCCTCAGGCTGGCCAGGAACCTCAGTGAAGATCCCCACCCTGAAGGGGGTATGACCAGCTTGAAAACAACCCCCAGCCCCTTACCCAGGCTGGCCATAACCCCATGGGGTGAGGGTCTCAACTGGGGGGCTTGACCAGACTGACAATGGTCCTTAGCCCCTTACCCAGGCCACCCAGGCCCCAAGGGAACCCTTACCTTGATCCAGGACACCCTTCATGGCAAACCAGGTGGCCCCCACCCATGCACAAGGCCTCTATCTATACTAATAAAAAGGGTAATATGCTAATTAGACTGGGAGACCTTCCGGATGTTATTCTGGACAAAGCCATGGAGGCAAGGCTGAGGTAGAGGCAGTTAGAGGCCAAGAGGGGAGGGCAATTGTGGGTGATCAGGCCAGGATGGGACAGCAATTGTGAGTGATCAGGCTGGTGGAGAGGTGGGGCCATTGGGGGTAAGCAGACCAGCAGGGGGGTCAGTTGGAGATGATCAGGATAGTGGGGGGCAATTTGGAGTGAGCAGGCCAGCAGGGGGGCAGTTGGGGATGAGCAAGCCAGTGGGAAGGGAAAATAGGAGTAAGCAGGCCAGCAGGGGTAGGGGGGGCATTTGGGGGCAAGCACACTGGCATGGGGGAGGGGGACATTTGGGGGCAAGCAGGCTGGCAGGTAAAGCGTTAGGAGCCAATAGTCCCAGATTGCAAAAGGGATGTCCAACTGCTGGTTGAAGCCCGATCCCTTTAAGGAGTCCCAGATTGGAGAGGGTGCAGGGCAAGCTGAGGGACACCACACACACACACACACACACACACACACACACACACCCAGTGCACAAATTTTGTGCACCAAGCCACGAGTTTTTAATAATCAGGGAGTCAGGTGTCACTTCCTGTTTGTATTAATGTAGTTGCCTCTGTCATATCATTCTATTCTTCTATGTTTCTTTTTTATATTTTTATATCTTTTTAATGTTTTGTTTCTAATATATTTATTTAGAAAATAGATAATCACTCGTGAAAATTGTATTATATTTCTAGAGTTAGTAGTAAATAGGCCCTCCTATAATTAAAGTATATGAGTTCCACACATAAGCAGATTTATTATTATTCTAATTTATAATATAAAGCATATTTGCAAAGAGGAAATTAACTCTCAATATTAACCTGAGGAAGTTTACATTTTTTGCTTATAGTCTTGTGATACTCACTTCGCTGGCCCAATGACTTTTTTGTTTTCATCTTTGTCTCCTGGAAAGGTCAGGGGAGGTAGCATGTTTGGTAACTGAATTCCAGATTGAGTAATAATTATAAAAAGCCAGTTTAGTTTGGTATTGGAAATAACAAGCAATAAGACTATAAAAGAAAGACTAGCTGGTTGTTTTTTAGTGTCTGTTTATATGAGAATAGAATAATTTTGCTCCATGCAACTCACAAAAAATCAATGCCAATGAGGCAATCTCCATTTCCTGTAGGCTAATTGTTAGAGCTGATTGAAAATTCCATCAATGTTAGAAAACTAGTGGCAAAGAATAAAATAAGCTAAAATACTACCTTGTTGCTGAACTTTTTAACCAATTCTTCTTGATGCCTCTATTAGAATTTGTGCTCACAGAATTAACTGCATTTAAAATGCTTCTGTCCAGTATCTCAGTTTAAAGATTTGAAAAATGTCACACATTTATAGTTTTGTAATGTGACTTCTTTGATAAAGTTTGAGAAATACTGGAAAGTTGGGCCTCTGTGTCCTTAATTATTTCTCATTATTTTAGAGCAATGATTCTGAAACTTTATTGTGCCCTCAAATTCCCTATTGAATTTGTTTAAAATGTAAATATATGGGATCCTCCCCGCTCCCTCCCCCCCCCCCGCACCCCTACCTCCCAGGGACTATGCTTCTATTGGCCTGGTAGAACTCAGAAATCTGCATTGTAAACAAGTACTCCTATGATTCTAATTCACATTTATTCAGGTCTTGACCTAATGAGTGGGAAGCTATGGTAATCAATTCCATATTTATTCTTTATAACGTGTCCAAAAAAACATTATTGATATTTTATTCAAAGGAGTTACAAACATTTAAATACTATTTAACATAATAAAGCAAATATTTAAAGGGGCTTGATTAATTTGATTTCATAATGACATATTATGTAGGAAATGTATATGTTGTGGCTTGATGTTTCTAGTTTGAGTAAATGAATTATTTTTATAAGCCAAAACACATCTTTTTATGCTTCCATGTGTACTTAAAACCTTTCTCTACTTAACTTTAGAGCAACCATCTAAACCTGAAATTGTTAGCAAAGCACCATTTCTTGAAACAGAGCAGCTGAAAAAGGTAAGAACTTGTTTTTGATTAGTTGCTTTACTCACCTTAGTGTTAAATGCCTTCTCTGGGCCTCAGATGCCAGGACAAATAGATAGTAATTGTGTAGCTGGCAGCATGATAGGTGCCAGTCAGAAAGTCTACAGAAGGTAGAGTGGGGACACAGAGGAAGATGATGCCATTTCTGAAGGAGAAGAGGGAAATGAGAGGAGAAAGAGCATGTCTTTCTTGTTTGAATGAACTGAACCTTTAATGGAGTCATGAAAAATGCGTAGATTTTTCCCAGGCCAGCAGTTTGAAGTAATACGATGTGAAAGAGAATAACATTTTTTGGAAAACATAGTTATTTGCATGTTGAACCTTTGGGTGCTAAGACAATAGGTGAGAGAGTAAAGTAAGAGATAAATCTAGAGAGGTAAGAAGAGGCTGGTTTATGATAGGCCTTATATGTTACGTAGGGAATTTGGACTTTATTCTGATGACAAATTAAACTATTGAAAAGTTGAAGTTAAGGTCAGATTTGAAATATCACATCAGCAGAGGTGTGAGGGAGGCTATAATGAAAGAGGAACATATCTAGAGTTTCACATCAACTGCCTAATAATCCCATTTCAGTAGCTAATTTTACTTTATGGGAGAATAAAAACAAGTCTGGAATTCGGTTAATCATATTAACTTTTTCTGCATAATATTATTTTATAAACACTAACTGTTAAAGTTAAAACACATTTGAAAAAAAGCGGTGGGTATTATAGATCTCAGTGGATGTATGTATGGTAGCATGGAGCATATATAGTATGAAGTGGAAGAGGTAACCACACTATAACACTGTTAGTGATTTCTGCCTATGCAGATCTATGAACCATGGCAATAGCCAGCATTAATGTAATTATGATATTTAGTTCATGTTAAAAAAGAATCATGCACAAAATAAAATTAGTAATCTTTTTACATGAATGTGGGTTAATAGTTGCAGCATCTGTGGCATAATTTAAAATGGGCAAGACCTTAATTGTTTTATATAAAAGAGCATTCATTCAGCCCTTAGTCAGTGCTTAGAAAATGAGTGGGTCCAGGAAAACTTTGGGGTAACTCTAAAATTCCCTGACCATTCTGAGCTTCCAAATTGACAACCACTAATGAAATCAAAGTAGTGACATTTCCTCCTTTATTTTGCAGTTGGGTGACTGTATTTCAAAAGACAGTTACCCAGAAGGCAACATCACGTGGTACAGGAGTGGAAGAGTGCTGCAACCCCTGGAAGGCGGTGGGTACTAAGTGGGCAACAGTTCAGACGACCTGTTCTCACATCTCTCCTCTGGGGATGCCTTGAACTGTCCCTAATGCGTTGCCCTCTTTTGATCTGTGCCTATGGGCTTTGTTCCTTTAAGTACCCATTAACTCACTAAGTGATTTTTTAAAACACCTTTTTAGCCCTTGTGCAGAAGAATCTAGAGTAGAGAAAACTGTTCTGTGTATGGTGTGTTTTAGAAGTTAATTAGTCTGAGTGGAAATCAGATTCTGGGATTCTATTTCTGTTTTTGTCTCTGGTTCACAGTGTCGAAAAGACATTCTACCTCACTATATGTCACTTTCCCCTCCTGTTGAATACATTGAGAAGGACAAAACCACTTCTTAAAGGTGTTTGTGGCATTTAATTAAGAATTGTCATTTTTTAAATGAAAGAGCCTGTCATTAGTGTTCTGTATTTTCTTCAGTGGTGGACATAGTTTTTAAAAAAGAAATGGACCCGGTAACTCAACTCTATACCATGACGTCATCCCTGGAGTACAAGACAACCAAGGCTGACATACACATGCCATTCACCTGCTCTGTGACATACTATGGACCATCAGGCCAGAAAACAGTTTATTCGGAACAAGCAGTCTTTGATATCTACTGTAAGTAACTCAACATATTGTTAGTATGCAATTTTAATTCACTAGGGGAAAAAAAATCAAATGCTTATCAGCCTTTTAAGTTCCTAACGATTTGGGGATTCTACTTCCAACTCCACACACCTTCTCCATAGCACACTAATAATCTCTTCCTCATGGAAAGACCTATAGAACAAAGGCTTACCTGTCTTGTGATATCTTTCACTCCCTAACTTGTTATTCTTTAACATTTTTGTTATTTTTAGATGCTAAAGTTCCTTAAATACAAGATCTCTAACTTAGTATTTTTTCTCTTATGGTTCTGAGCCCTGGCACATAGCCCTGAACTTTCTAGGAGTTCAAAATGTGCTCTGATGGTTTCCTGAATGAATGACAAATAAATAGAGACTTATGGCTGATTGATCTTCTAGATAAGGGCTTTACATTTCAATTAAGAGATTTATTTTATTAATGAAATTGATTTCTTAAGTTAAATAAGATGTTACAGTCCAAGATGTTTTGTTTAAAAGTTTATTTCACAGATTTGAAACCTAGAATAGTAGACTACAAAGGAAACTTCTTAATGATCTGGTCTAACTCAATTATTTTACTTAGCAGTAAAGTGAAGCCCTGAAACTTGTCCTAAATTAGAGGCTGGGTTAGAATCCTTTTCTCTAATGCTGTGCTGTTTCCTGTCAGACAGATGGCAAGATAATCTAATAATGAAGAGCAAACGTGCTGGTGATCCTGTCCCGGCACTGTTATTACTGTGTGTTTCTAGAAGAGTAGCTTAAATACTCTAGGGTTCACTCTTCTTATCTCAAAATGGGAAAAATATAATACTTAATTTAATAGTGTCATTATGGAGATTTAAGTGAAATCACAAATCTAAAATAGCATATTGTATGGCACATTAAATGCTCATTATTAAGTACTATTGTCATTATTACAAAATTATCATTGTTACTACATAAAGATATATATAGTTATATCTTTTTAGGAAAAGGCAAGGAAGAAGTTTATTTTTACATGCATCAAAAATTCTTGTAATGCTACCATGTGTTGGATAATAACCTAACACTTCTACATCTGTTCTGGAAAAGGAACATAAAGTCCACCTGAACCTCAGAGTTTTTACCCACCTACATTTCTATTTTGGTTCCATAAAGTGTGGAACCTTATTAAGAACAAAACTGAAACACCACCTGTCCTAATAATAAAAAGTCATTTTTGCCTTTCACTTTACAAATATGCACATTTCAGTTTGACTCAAAATCTATGATTGAGAGGATTTCGTCCTGTATAGCTTATCTTAAAACAAATTATTATTTCTGTCTGTTCAAATATCCAATTGGAAATAAACTATCTTGGTATAAGTGCAAGAATAAAAGAGAGGAAAGAACATCAAATGAGTAGTAGAGAATGGGAAATTGGCTTACGAAAGAACAGAAGTATACGTGCATGTCAGGCATGGGGAGTTTGGTAGGCAGAGAGGTTCTTGATTTCATTGAAGGAAAATATTTTACTGTGACTGGCTGTGTTGGGTGCATTGGGCATGTCTTATGAGAACGCATAATGTATGCAGTTCTGAGTTTCATGGTGAAGACACAGCATGTTTATGATGTAGTCCTGATATTTCAGGCATTTGCTCCTCCACTAGGGAAATTGTCAGTGCCAGATTGCAAGTGACCCAAGCACCACATGGACTTAGTGAACAGTCCTAAAAGCTCAGGTGCTCAAGGAAAATGATTATCCAATTTGAATGGTCATCAACATCACCTAGGAAACGTGTCAGAACATAGATTGCTGAACCCTGCTCTAGTGTCTCACCCACTGGTGCTGGGAGGAGTCCAGCACTGTGCACTTATAACAAAGGCCCTGGTGATGCTAACGCTGCTGATCAGAGACCACATTGTGAGAAGCCCTGCTCCAGAATGATGTCAAAGAAGAGAAAGGGTAGCTGAATCCAAAGGACACACAGTACACAAGAAAAAGAAATTTGATAAATTCATCTTGAAAAAGTTGTTCTAGTCCTTTCCTTCCTTATCTTATTCAGCAAGTTAAGAATCCTTATAGAATCTAGTTCCTTAATCTTTGTGTTTACTTGATTTCTGCCTTCTTGCACACTCAAGATTATGCCACCATTCTTCATCATCTGTATTTTGATGACACTTTTCTAAATTGCATTTCTCTTGTTTATTCACTCCAAACTGCCCTCCAAGCTGCTGTCAAATCCATATATATGAAAGCCCGACCAAACAACTGGTGGCTGACATATACTAGGGCAACAAACCAACCTGATCTGTGTGCCAATCACCATCCTGCCCCCTGCCGCCCGCAGCTGACCTGGCCCCCAATCAGCCCCCAACACCTCAATTGGGGGTGGTCAACCACCTGCACCCCCACTCTGCTGGCCCAGCCCAACAGGCCCCCATTGGGGCAGGCCAGCTGGACCCCACCCATGCATGAATCTGTGCATCTGGCCTCTAGTATCTTTCTAAAACACAAAGGTGACCATGTCACTGCTGCAATTAAAATTCTTCAATGACACCTTAGATCTCTGAGACTGATCTTCATGCTCCTGAGCAATTTTAATATTCCTTAAGTCTCCTTAAGTCTCTGATGGACATGGTCTTGCTTTATGTCTCAACCTCCATTACTTCACAGTTTGTTCTGTTTTCCAGCTTCCTCCTATAAAATACCACTTACATGCCTAGCCAAATACTGTTACCCCCTCACCATTGTTATCTATAAAACACACACTTAGTCTCAAAATCCAGATCCAGAGTCAATTTCTACTATAACCTTCCCAGTTTCATGTATCTATAAGCTATCAGTGGTCACTTTGCTTACATCTATGCAGTTTTTACATTATAGTCTTAAGTATGGTGTGATTGTATAATGTGAAGGTTCATTGAAGGTGGGAACTGTGCTGCTTTCACATTTATAACTCTAGTACTTAGTAGTACAAAATAATTATTAGCTAACAAATGAATAAATGACTGGACAGACGATAGATGAAGAGATGGGAGAAAGAAAATCTGAGTAGTCTCTTTTGCTTATAATGTAGGGGTATGTACAGATTAGTGAGATGAAAAATAGACACCAGGTTAGGAACTATTTATTTCAGACATACATATTGAGAATGCATGAGGGGTTTTGAATATTCTTGTAATAGTCAAAGCACAGCTTAAAAACTGATTTAGAGGAAATAAACAGGAATGGGGAAAACTGAGTATATAGTTGTTCATATGAAAAATACAATCTGTCTCTCTCTCTCTCTCTCTCTCTCTCTCTCTCTCTCTTTCTCTCTCTCTCTCTCTCTCTCTCTCTCTATATATATATATATATATATATATATATATATATATACATATATATATACACACACACATATATATAACAGCCTCAGCAACCATTATGACCAGCTGACCAAGTGACCAGCAGGGGGCAGATGTCCAGACTGGGCAAGATGGCCCCAATGGCCCCAATCACTGGCCAGGCTGAGGGATCCCACCCATGCACAAATTCATGCATCAGGCCTTTAGCAATTAAGTAGTAATACAAGAATAAACTCTGGTGCACTCAAAATTGTAAACCTACTCTTGCCCATCCCTGTATATGAGTAGTAGAAAAGAGAAAGGTTCAAAGTAAGGGACTGAATGAAGTTTGATGGCAGTGTTCTCTCTGTAGGTTAATTAGAGCCCAGACTAGGGAAATGTTATTAGGAATAAGAGAGAATCACATGCCAAATATATTAAGTATTAATCATTAAGACTTGGTGATTGAGTGGATAAGAAAAGACAAAAGAGAAAGCCAGAGTAACTGGCAGAATGACAGAGTAAAATTCAAAATCAGGGTGAAGGGAGTGCAAGAGATCATTAGTTTTGCTTGAAGCATGTTAGTGGATATCAAGAAAGTTACTGTGAAAAGTAAAATGTTACATTAACCTTCTGAGCTTAGTCCTTCAGCCCCCTAATACTGAGCAGAACTTATTGGAAAGGGGACACAGAGAAAGGGAATTTCAAAATGGAGCGGGAAGTCAGATAGAATGTGTCATCCTTGATTGGGGATGTGCCACAGTGGTAAGCAATGGGCCAAAGCTAGTCAGAGAAGGGACACCTAAAAGAGTGAGGAAGGCCTAGGAATGGAAGGTCAGTAGGGGAACAAAATCAAACTTAATTTGCTTTCCACTTTACCAGGAACTGTTTGTCAGGATTCTACCTCAGACAATTTGAGAAAAACAAACAATAAGTATATTAAACCAATCATGGTTCAGCCTCAGAACATTCTGGGCAAATACTCAGAGATGCCCAAGCATGAATAAATGACAAAGAAGCAATTTAAAACAATCTTCCTGTTTTTCCTGTACTTTAATCTTAGAAATATAAGTGACTGCAAGAAATAGAAGAAAGCACCCAAATCTATCATTTACTTGTTTTAGCTAATAGCAAAATAAGTCTTCATAGATCATTCTTAGTGCTACCAGTTTGGAAATATAGATGCATACCTCAATGATATTAAGTCTGTGAAAAGGTTCTGTAAAATAAACTTTTGCATTAAATGGTTTCGAAATTCATTGTTCAAAATATTATCAAGCTATATAACAGGTGGCTAAGTTAGAGAGTGGGTGATTTATAACTACCAGGACCACCTCCTTTTATTGTATACTAGAGGCCCAGTGCACGAATTTGTGTATGGATGGGATCCCTGGCCTGGATGGATGGCCTGGCTGGCAATCAGGGCTGATCAGGGCCAAGGGAGGTTGGCCAGCAGGGGGAGGGGCCACAGGAGGTTGGCCAGCAGCTCCAATCAGGGTCTTCCAGACCAGCCAACTGGGGGGAGGGACCACAGGAGGTTGGCTGACCTGGGGAGGTTGGCTGTGGGAGCACAGTGACCACCAGGGCGGGCAGCTCCAGCATTGAGTGTTTGCCTCCTCACTTGGTGGACAGTGCATGTCATAGCAACTGGCCGACCAGTCGTTTGGTTCTTTGGTTGTTCAGTTGCTTAGGTTTTTATGTAGAGAGATTTGCTAGATATGGTCTACTGGTCCAGATTTTAATTTCTTTAGCATTCTACTGTTGAGCAGTAGCCTCACTAAAGAACACCCTTTGGCCCTATTTTCAACATAAAATTGATCAAAAGGGAATGAAAGTTGCATCTTGGCTCCACTGAACAGAACAGAATTACAATATATTATAGTCTTGCATCATCCTTAGTTCATGGCATTCATCTTTTTGAAAGCAGATCTACTCTCCTGCATCCCCAAAATATTGCTGGCATTATTTAGCTCATGTGTCTTTTTATTTAATATAAGGTATTATTATGTAATGTGAGTCCAGGAGTGCCTAATAGCTTTAGCTACTTTGCTAGCTGATCCAGTCTTTCCAAACTGTTAAGATTCATATAATATAGTTAAATGTCCCTATAATGAAATCATATAGTGCAATTGTTCCTACTGGTCTGGTACCCATAAAATAATTATGTTCACTCCTACCTCAGTTGAAGAAATTTTGTTAAGAATAAGTTGATTTAAAAAAAAAAATATATATATATAACAAGGTTTCTTTGCAGTTTATTCTAACCAAGATTAGTGCTTGGTGTAGCAAGTAGCTATTAACTCCAATCCTTCTATAAAAAGATACATTTAAGTAATTACCATTACTGGCTTCTTGAGAAAATTGTGTGTAATTTAGTCATTTATATTGTATGTATAGAGTAATTTGGTACTTGACAAAAATGGTTAACTCGTATCTGTGACTCCTGCAGATCCTACAGAGCAAGTGACAATCCAAGTGCTGCCACCAAGAAGTGCCATCAAAGAAGGGGACAACATTACTCTGAAATGCCTAGGCAATGGCAACCCTCCTCCTGAGGAGTTTTTCTTTTACTTACCAGTAAGTGCTTAAGGATTATTACTTAAGCTAGAACTCTATCATTTGTCCTGTTGTTTGGCAGCTGGCTGACATTAAGGATTGAATGCACCTGAGCAGCTGAAGTGAGAAAGGCTGTTTTTCTTGGGGACAAGGGATACCATTTTTCAGCATCTTCCAATGATCTTGCCCTTTTTTCAATGTCAAGTGATTTTTAGGATAAATGCCATTCACAGAAAACCATAATTATAAAACCTCAATGTTCATTATCCACGTAAACTATAAGAATCTGCTCTTTAGATGCAGGTAACTGTGATATGAAGAGTGATGGCAGCAAATGCTGTGGTACAGATTTTAAATCTACCCATAGCACCTTCCTGAACACATCTGTGGAACTCTGAAGTAGGAAGAGTCCTGTTGCAGATTATATTTAGCTTGTCAGACTACAGCTGGGGCTATAGCTTGCAATTGTAGATGGTCTCGGAGCACCAGTTCCTTGATTTTTATCAGTATCATAGATGAAAGAAATGATATGTAGAAAGGATCATTTGGACAATTCTTCTAGAATGAGTTCTAGATGTCATAGTGATATGGAACCATACCAGAGGACAGACAGCTCATGTGAGGACAACTGCTTGCTCCCCCACAGGTCTTCCTGAGCTTTTCTTTGACATAACCTTCCATTGAGAGAAGTCTTGTACAACTATGTCTGCATTGTACTACAAATGCCATCTGCTGCATTACTCAGTAGTGCTTAAGACTGTCATCTTAATACCAAGCAACATTACTCAGAAGACCAGTATAAGTAATTTTTTTAGACTTCAATGTTGACATATAACTTTGTTTCTTCTAATAAGTTGACATACTGTTTTTGTCTCATGTGCAAATGATGTTTTGAAACTAGTTATGTTTCCTTGGCTATCAGGAATCACAGAGCCAAACGTCTTAGTTTTAGCAATAAGATATGATACTTATCTTTTTTAATATATATTCCCAGTTCATCTATATTTTTATATTTTACTTTGTTATTTTTTCTTTTTATTTATTTTTTCTCCTCTTTTACTTTCTCTTTCCTTCCTTGCCTCCTTTCTTTTCTTAATTTCTTCCTTCCTTCCTTATTTCCTACCATTCTTTTCCTATTTTCTTAAAATTTGGGTAAATGACATGTTCTATTTTAAGTTGCCTTGAATCTTTCTGTCAGATTAGGCAAGGTATAAATATAAAAATAAAATATTGGAAATTAAAAAAAATAAAATGTAATCCATGCTATCTATAAAATAGATGGCACCAATACAATGTGAATTACCTCCTCAATATCAATTATTTTTCCAGGAATCAGATAATACAAACTACTCTTATTTGTCCAATCAAAGAATTATATAACCTTTTTTTCCTCTTATTTGAGAAAATGTCATTTTCATCAAGAAATAAGACTGTTCTTATTGTAGCTACCAAGTGCAATAACCTGACATTTTGCTTCTATCAAAAGGGACAGCCCGAAGGAATAAGAAGCTCAAATACTTACACACTGACAGATATGAGGCGCAATGCAAGCGGAGACTACAGATGCTCCCTGACAGACAAAAAGAGCATGATTGCATCAACATCCATCACTGTGCACTGTAAGTCACCTTATTCTTCATATAGTGTGGTTTCTTGTGATTTACTGAAGGGCATAGAAACAAGCTCCACCATGTTCCAGATTTGCACTGCAATATTGAAATCTTGCATGGATCGAATAGCTGCAACTTCTGACAGTGGTAAACCTCCATCTGGTTTATAAATGCCTTTAGTGTGAAGTACCAACAAAACACATTCCTGGATATTAAACAAATAACTCATTTTATCTTTTAAATAAAATATTATATATTCTTGAAATTTACAAGGTTTGCATTTGGCACATAAAAGTATAGATTAAGTATCACTTTGAAAATAGCATAAATAATATTAATACCCAATCCCAAACAACACAAAGTTAATGTTAAAAAACAAAACAAAATGTTGATGAATAAAGGAGAGAAGGCAGAGACTTTGGGAGAGAAGGCAAAGACTACTAAAAGCTATTTATTGGCTTCTTTAGAGAAAGATGGAACATTTTATAACCAGAGCCTCTTCAAAATCACTCTGAAGTACCTTTTTTTGTTAACTTTTCACCCACTTTTGATCTCCAGGTACTTCAAATGTTATATTTACTCCAGTGTGATAGCAAAAGGTACACATAGAAAACAGACACTTTACTTGTGTTCATTATATTGTAACTCCTGGAAGTCTATATTACCTAGCAGCATGAAATCAGCGTGGAAATTGGGGATTAATTTAAACTGTTCTCTGGTGACACTAGACCTCACAGAGTGCCTTGGGGGAATGTTAGTCTTGCTTGGAAGTACAGACCAAACATCCTAATATATACTTTGCACCTAACAGCACCATCAAATAAATAGGTTTCCTCTAGGCATGATCCACTGCGATCCCATTAGAAATTGCTCTGAGGGAATGATTCTAAATCTTTCACTCGATCTGCAATGCTTGGGAAACATGTAGGACAGAAGCTAAAACTTTGAGGGAGGTTCAGGAAGGTACTTTAGATAACAGAATAACAGGATGGTTGCTCTGGAGTGTGTGATGTTGGAAGGGACTCCTGGGAGGCGTGTAAAAATTGTGCACTGTTATGAAATATTCACAACCAGTCCATGTCTCTGTTTTTTGCCTCATATTCATGTTGCACAGATCTGAGTATGTCTGCCAGCAGGGACTGTTTAGACAAAAAACAGTAATCTTTCAGGATAACAATAGCTCTACTTTTCTCTGAGAACTAATCAGTCAGGGGACCATTTATCCAGCCTGTTCTATATGGGGGGAAAATGAATTAAGAGACTATAACAAACATATAGAATTGACTATGGAAAACTATCTGATATAGCTGGGTCAATGACCAATAACCCAGTGCTAAGTGGTGGTACATTTATGTTGAAGAGATGTTGGCTACTCAGGACCCTAAAACGAGAGGGCTCTTATTTGTATGACTTGTAATCAAGAAGGGAAAAATAGATAAACTGATAAAGCAAAACACTTGGATATAGCCACAGAATACCTCCAGGATACTGGGATGAGAGAAAAAAGAAAAAAAACAAAGCATGTAATAGTTTAATTAGAGTTCAGTGCATTTTCCTGGATTTAAATGATTTTTTACTTTTGGCAGACTGCTAATATTAGATTTAAGTCCTACATAGCTCCTCAAAAGCTGGCGGGGAAAAAAGTATTGCAAGCAAATCAAGATTTTATGTAAGTTACCTAAAATGAAATCATAAAACGCTATTTTTGCCTGTTTATCTTGATTGCTTGTTTGCTTTCCAAAAACAAGAGTTGTTTTCTTTTCATTGGTGGCTGAAGGGAGTGTGTGGCTGGAGGATCTCCAGCCCATACTTGCACATGTTTGCAAAACAGACCCCTCAGCAGGGCTCCCACCCACAGACCCACAGTTGTTGATGAAATGTCTATTATTCTTCTGCCAATTCCTGCACATGTAGATTCTTCAGCAGAACTTCCAAAGCCCGCCATCATTCTTTAAAGTCCTTTATCACTGGCAAGTTAACTATCTAGGAAGGGAAAACTTCTAACTCACCCTAAATATTGTAGAATTTTCATTTAAATATAATTCATCAAAAAAACTCCACTTTTCTATGTAAACATGCATATTTTAATATTAACAAGAAACTGAGAAAGCACACTCCATTCATTCAACAAATGGTTTTGAGAGCCTATCACGTGACAGACACTATGGAAACACTCCTTATGGTGCTTACAGCCTCATAGGAGAAACGAGAATTTAAAAATGATGTTCAAACAACCAATGAATCACAATGGTAACATGTAAAATGGAGGAGCAGCACAGGGTGCGATAGCAAATTCCTACTGATAGAGAGTCAAGTTACAAATCCGAGATTGGCAAACACAGTCCTTTACATCCTAGCCTCAATTAATTTATCTTCCATGTGTTATAGTAACCATTCATACCAGATTACTCGCCATTGTGAACTCTTCTCTTTGACCGTTTATGTGGCAGAAGTTTTTTCCTACATCTCCACTTACCAAAGTCCTTCTCAACCACTGGGCCACAAACATACTGCCTCCTACACAAAACCTTTATTACTGCTTTGAAATCCAGTTTGGCTCTTGTCTCTACACTCTCACCTTTGCTTATACCTCTGTTTGCAGCCCTTCCTTTATTTTTTCAACAAATATTTATTGAATCCCTAATTTCTAGCATGTTTGCCACCAGGTGCTGATTTCATGCTGCTAGGTATTATAGTTGCATAGTTGAGTACAATTACCTCTGCCTCAAAAATTGTGCAAGCTCAACTGATCTATCGCCAATCAGTGCTTGGAGCATAGTAGCTATACAATAAATGTTTTCCATATGGAATTGGATATTCCTCATACAGATTATACTATGACAGTAAATTTTTATAGAAATTACTTCTCTAAAAGATTATATTTCCATATAATCTTATGGAAATAAATAAATAAATAAATATATATATATATATAAAAATATATATATATTCTATTTTTAAAAGATGATGTCTGCTAATAGTGTACTTTATAATAGATCTGGTTTAAAATGTCAACTGCATGAAAATTTTAATTCTTTTTTATTTTTTTAAATACTTATCTACCATAGTTAATTCTCTCTGAAGAAACTATGTCGCCTTCCTCGTGACTTTTTAATTTATCATCTGCTTGGCTACATATACTTGATTTTTTCCCTGTTATGCTTTACCTATTGTTTTTATAATAGTTACCTAGTCATCATCATTCTTTATGTTCTTCCAGAAGTGATTTAAGAATTTTTTTTTTTCTTAAAGTGATAGAACCCTGGGGAATACATATGTGCAGTGAAAACATCAATCATGTTAATTCCAGATAAATGCATAACCAATTAGAAGGACCATTCACTAACGTGATCTCAAAGCTCACTTGAAAAATGACTGATTATGTTACAATTCAGTTATTTCAGGCACACTAATCAGTTCTGAATTTTCAAATGCAGTTAGAGGGATTTTTCCCACCATTTCTTCTCCAAACTATTTTGATTATCTTTCTTCCTGGAGTTTGAATTTTAAGCAGATTTTCTGCTTTACAGATTTGGATTTGTCCTTAAATCCAAGTGGGGAAGTGACCAAGCAGATTGGGGATGCCCTGCCTATATCATGCACAATATCTGCTAGTCGGAATGCAACTGTGGTATGGATGAAAGTAAGTAATATTCCTTGGTAAAGTTCTGTTTGAACTGATTCTCCCTCAGGCTTCTTTTGCATTTTATGTCATATCCAATATGTATATTCATGGGCAATGTGTTTATGTACTCACACTCATTCTTGATATATAATAATTAAAAATCATGTCATAATACAATTTTAGAGCTACTAAACAATAGTGCAGCATTTATAATTGGTGCTGTGAAACTTATTTTGTATATATAAACTTAATAATGTATATATACTAAGTAATTATACACATATGTACATGCTCAGACACACACATATATACATCTATATTCTTTAGGGCTGAACGATTTATGATGTGTTGTAACCCACATTATTCTCACATGACAGTTACAACAACCCTGTGAAATATGCAGGACATTTATTATTTCCTCACATTAATCATGAAGAGGTTGAGATGAGGGAAATTACAAAGCACATACATGACAGAGTAGAGACTTGAACTCTGGCCTTACTGAGAATAAAGACTGCTGAAACTAAAGTGTCTGAATTTATGTCCTACTGAACTAGAAGCTCATTGGAGATCCATATCTCTTTTCATCTTTAAGCCATAGTACATGCTAGGATCTCAGTCAGTACTTCTTGAGTGAGTGCTAATATTTTCTTGTAATTGTCTGAAATATAGGGCATTTCCCAGACCCAATTATTATTATATTTTTAGAGTAAGAAAGTAGGATTGGTAATTTGTTATTTGAGACAGGGTTCCCCCAAAAGTCAATGGTTGTAACTGTGATCCCTCCATCTAAATCCTTGGCTACTAAATTTAAACACTTAGTACATTAATCCTCAGAACATAGATTTAACAGGAGCATTTTACCAGTAATGTGTTGACAAAATGCATGCATACAATTTGAAGTAAGGGTTAGCAAATATTATCTTTATAAACAATTGTGGAGAAATTTATTCCTAGAGCTTCTTCTTGATGAAAATATGATTTTGTATTGCTCTTTGATCTCTTTTAATGCCAGACTCTGTTACTTGTTTTCTGACTCTAGTACTTTCTTATTGCACTTTGTTTTAACCACCTTATCACAACTTTCTGTTCACTCAGATATTAAAGTGTTACTCAAGAGACTGTATATTTAACATAGTATATTTATAATAATTGATAATCAAAGGGCTAGACACGTTCTAGGCAACTAGACTACTCAATGACATTATGAACATTCATAGTGTGTTTTACTATAGGACTAAAGACTGTAGTTTACTTGACTAAACCAGTTTCTATATCAACTGCAGTCATTGTTGTTAATTGCATACCTAATATCAGTGATCAGTATTGTCTGGCCTTTGGTTCATTGACGGGAGAGGAAAAAATTCATAGTGGACAACGATAACATAATCTTAGGAGCCAATTTAGTTGTCTGCTTCTGAACATTTTTTTTAAATATATTTTATTGATTTTTCACAGAGAGGAAGAGAGAGGGATAGAGAGTTAGAAACATCGATGAGAGAGAATCATTGATCAGCTGTCTCCTGCATACCCCCTACTGGGGATGTGCCCGCAACCAAGGTACATGTCCTTGACCGGAATCGAACCCGGGACCTTTCAGTCCACAGGCCGACGCTCTATCTACTGAGCCAAACCGGTCCTGGCTGAACATTTCAATTCCTGATAAAATAGCATCATTTTCTATATATTAAGTGATTTTTTTAAATTAAATGTTATATTTTCTTTGTTCATTGAAATTAGGATAGTAAGTTGTTATTAAGGGTTTCTTTAAAAAACAGGTGGTCACCCTCGCCAGTTTGGCTCAGTAGATAGAGAATCAGTCCATGGACTGAAGGGTCCCAAGTTTGGTTCCAGTCAAGAGCACATACCTTGGTTGCAGGCTCCATCCCCAGCCCTGGTCAGGGCATGTACTGGAAGCAACCAGCTTATATGTTTCTATCTCTGTCTCTCTGCTTCTCTTCCACTCTCTCTAAAAACCAATGGAAAAAATACCATTGGTTGAGGATTAAGCAATAAATAAATAAATAAGGCATGTTGTCATAATTGCCATGGCTCTGTAATGAATCTCCTGTTAATAACTGTATCCTTTCACACATCTATATTCATAATCAATTACATAGCACAAGTCTTCAATGTCTGTCATTCCTAGTTATACGTTTTCTACAATGAGTAATTACTATGAATCAAGAACTTTTCTTAGTGTAAACACATTGTATTGTTTTTATTTTTATTTTTAAAAAAGGCCTCATAACAGTGCAAGAAGGCTATTATCCTCTCTTACAAATAATGAAACTGAGTCTCAGAAGTTTAAGAACTGCTCTAAATTACAAGTTCAATACACAGAAGAGTCTGAAATAATGTCCAATTCTAGCAGTACAAACGAAAAGGGAAATCTACTTTTGAAGTCACCCGAAGTTAAGAAAAAGAAGCTTGAGTTTTCATTAGACCCAGCAGAATCATTTTAGGCCTAATTATTTATCTAGTAAACACATTCAGAGTTATTATTGTGCCCTGTGCAGTAATTAACTTTTTATTTAATCAGGATAACACCAGGCTTAAATCTAGCCCATCATTTTCTAGTCTCCAATATCAGGATGCGGGAAACTATGTCTGTGAAACTGCTCTGCAGGAGGTGGAAGGACTAAAGAAAAGAGAGTCATTGACTCTCATTGTAGAAGGTAATAAAATACTTGAACACTCCTTCAATTTTTTCTTTGAGATTTTGCTCTCTGGTTAAATTTTATGACCTTGGTTCAACATCTTATTTTAATTTTAATAATATTCAGGAAAACCTCAAATCAGAATGACAAAAATCATTGATCCCAGAGGCCTGTCTAAAACAGTCATCTGCCATGTGGAAGGGTTTCCGAAGCCTGCCATACAGTGGACAATTACTGGTAGCGGAAGTGTCATAAACCAAGCAAGTATTCGTCTTCTTGTTATATGCTGCACTTGGTCCAATATGGGGTTTTATCTGGACTTAAACTGTGGGTGAAGCTGCTTGCCAAGGTGAAATTTTCAGAATGTCCTCAGAGGAAGCTTTTGCTAAATTCTTAATTTTCCCAAAGGTAGAGCATGGCTCAAAGAGCGATTTTTAGATACCAGGGCCGTGGAGAATGAAAGAATCATGGAGTTGTGGTCAGTATCTGTTTTTAAAAGAACATAAATAGGATGTTCTTCCAAGGTAATTAACTTCTGAAACCTAGTGATTAAAACATTAAGGTGTGTACTTTTCTGCATGATAAACTTACACGTCTGAATATAAGTGGCCTCCATTACTTTGCTTACTTACGCACATTAAGGGAGATTTCCTCTTAAAACTGGGCCCTGAAGTGTGGTAGAGAACACATTCAAGTGTTCTCTGGCATCTGGTCTGGTTTGTGTGTGCCAGGGCCAGAGTAAGGCTAGGTAAATACATAGTATCTAGGATGTGTCCTTCTGGAACCAAAGAAAACATAAACCAGAACTTGATATTTGTACCTTTGCCAGGACATTTTAGTCATAGTAAAGGGCTAAGAAATTATGAACACCACTAGTAATTTTCTTTTTACTTTGATAAAATTTTTTAAAAAATTTAAAAGATGAAAATCTGGTCTGTCACTAGGAGTTCAGAGCTAGAATCTCATTAAATTGCCAGTCTGCTGGGTTTACTTCTTAATTCTATTTTCTCTTCTCAGTGGAGCCAGTTAAAGAGTCTTCAGCAACACCCAGAGGAGCTATTTGATTCTCTCAATCTTCTGTGCTGCCTTCTTCCCAGCTTTGAGCCTAGTTGCAATGTGAAAAGGCATATGAAAAGCAAAGTTGCAATTGGGTTTTAAGTTTAAATTTCTACTCTCTCTCTCTGTTCAGGGATATTGGGCTGCTGGTCCAGATTATATAATGTGGTTTTGCAGAGCAAGGTGAATTTTGGCTCTTTTACCTATGGTTGATATATATATATATATATATATATATATATATATATATATATATATATATATATTTGCATAACTTCAAATATGGAAGGTCCCCAAAGCAAAAGACTACTGATATGAATAGGTGGGATGGGGACACACAGAAAGCAGGCACGAGCAAGACAAAGAGGTGCTAGCACGAAATGCAGGTGTCCTGACCCAGGTGAAGATGTGAACAACCTATACAACATACAAGCTAAATTTTAGCATTCAAAATGACTATTTTTTTTATTTTGCTTTTTCCCCTTCTCTTGTTCAATGAAAGCCAAAAAGAACCTGTAGGTATTGGTAATGTAAGTATAAAAAATATATAAATAAGCACACAATAAATATTTGATGAATGAAAAATGCAAAGGTATAAAAGAAATGAGTACATATATTTTGTAGTGATAAAAATAACAAGAAGAAAGACTCAGTGAGAAAGTCACATGAAAAATACTGATGGGAAGTGGTACAATAGCAGGTGAACTTACTATGAGGATAAAAATAATAATGCCATTCTTCATTGTCAAGGAGAAGAATTGATTCTGGCCACTAGGTGATATGTTATTTTTCTTGTTCTAGGTTTGTGCTGATACACATAATCTTTTATTTGTTCCCTCCAAAAACACATGGTGAATCTATTATTTTACAACTCCTGAAAACCCTGTCCCATTCTGCCCTAGGATGAGAAAAAAATCCCTAAGCATGAAACTAACTCTTGTTCTCAAGGTCCTTACGTTGCAGCTGAAGGGAAACTAAGTAGGGACCAATGTGTCTAAATAAAGGGACTGAGAAAAGAGCACCAGTACATATTTGCTTTTGTTGTGTTAGACTTAGGAGTCTAGTCCTAGGGAGGAGATTAAAGTGCATTGTCTCATTTTTGGATGAATTAAATACAGTTATTGTTCTCATCAACACTTCACAACAACAGAATCAATTTATCAAAGAACTCATCCTCTGTGTTTAGCTCAGGACAAATGAGAAGAAAAAAAAAAAAGAAAAAAAAGAGTTAGATTTCCCATTAGTAAAATTCTATGTAAATATGTACTTAGATATAATGGCCATCCCATGTACCAAGAGGTCACGGATTGGATTTCCAGTCAGGGCACATGCCCAGGTTGCTGGTTCAGTCCACAGCAATGGATGTGTAGGAGGCAACCAATTGTTTCTCTCTCATGATATTTCTACATCTTTCTCTTTCCCTTTCTCTGAAATTAATAAAAAAAAACATATTTTTTAAACAAGAACTGAATTCATTGGTTTATTAGGGGAAAATTGATGATTAATATTTTAAAATAAGCACTCATGCTAAAATATTAATCTGAGTATCTTTTGAAAAAATGAGTTTGGTGAATTTAATTATTAGGATTTATAATACAAGCATAAACAGGAATCCATTTATGAATTTACTATTCTTTTCCCATCACTGCTGTAGATGTAAACCTGAAGCGATCTATGTCTATGACCTTACATATACCCTTGAATACCTGATCGCACTACAGAGCACCACACCTATCCTATTTCACTCAGCATTACTCTTCCCCCTTTTGTTCACCTAGTTCCATTTCTAAATCTGTATTTCTTTGTTCTTTTCCAGACAGAGGAATCTCCTTATATCAATGGCAAGTATTATAGTAAAATTATCATTTCCCCAGAAGAGAATGTTACATTAACTTGCACAGCAGAAAACCAGCTGGAGAGAACAGTAAACTCCTTGAATGTCTCTGCTAGTGAGTATTTCATTTCTGACATTTAAAAAGTAAGAAAATTTGAAGTTATTCTTCATTAGTTTAAAATCTTCAATTCCATCTTCCTATACTGCATTATGGTAAGTTTTATTTATTTTCCATTGGGTATCATCATCATAGGTTCTTTTTATTTATTTATTTATTTGTGGTGTCCATTCTTGTATAATTCTTGTCTTGACAGCTAAATCATTTTATGTCTTATGGGTCAAAGTCTTAACTTATATAGGAATATTTCCCAAGAACATGAGATGATATGAACTGAGTTGCTATTATTTAATCTATATTTTGTGTTCAGAGTATAGATAATTCAAAGTTTTTCTTAAAACACTTGTGAAACAGTTTCAATTTTGATAAAATTTTAATTCTTTAATCTGTTATTTTGCATTCTATTTGTGATATTTATCCTACCATTATTTTGTACAAGAATGCCATATGCTCAAGGTCATTTAGCAAATTGTTAGTCAAACTTGTGTCAGAATTAATGAAATCTAGTTTTAAAAATTGATGCTTTGAATACAATATTTGAATCATAGCTAAAAACCATGAAATTATCTCAGAAAAAGTGAAAAATATCTGTCAATAATGAAATCAGGGTAATATAATACATACACACCAAAAGCAGCTTCTGAAAACATTTGTCATTTATTTGAATCTAGAGGCCCAGTGCATGAAAATTCATGCACTGGAGAGGGAGGGGACCCTCAACACAGCCTGTCCCCTCTCACAGTCCAGGAGCCCTCAGAGGTGGGAGGCTCCTAGGGAACAGGGGAAGGAACAGCACAAGCCTCAGCTGGCCCTGGTTACCTGAGCCTCGGTCAGCCCTGGGTGGCTGGGCAATAGCCATCCAAGGCTTGCCTGTGCCTCTGGCCGGTCCTGGGCGGCTGTAGGGCTGAGGGGACTGGATGCTGCCATCTTGTGGCTGTGGGAGCTGCCATCTTTGAGGGCGGGGCAGTCAATAAGCATCTTCCCTCCTTATTGGATAGGGCTATCCGTCATCTTCAGTTCTGTCCTTGTTCCTGTTACTATGATAACCTGAAATCAGGAGAGACTTAGAATGAGGTTTAGCTCTGAGCAGGAGGCTAACTGACCTTCCAAACTCTTATTCTTCAGTCAGTTGGAATCTGTATGTCACATTAGCAGGATAGGAATACACTGGCCAGGAATTAGCTGGAGCCAGGAGAAAATAATTGTCTAAAGATAATAGTTTTTAACAGATTATGACTGGAATATAAAAGCCTGCTGAACTGACAAGAAAAGAACCAAACAAATTTAACTTGAAAATAGGAGCATTGACTTCTCAGAATTTAATTCAGCGAGTATTGATTTGTCCTACCTAGAAAGAGAACTTATCCTTTCTCCCTGAACACAAGTCTCTCTTTTCATTTTAACCCATTGAAGAGTGGTCTTCTAGGCTTTGCAGTGGCATGATCAACATTTAATACAGTTGTTTTTCAATTCAGTGAGCACCTCCTGAGATCCCCATTTTTGTGAGGAAGGACTGGGGAATCTGCAGTTTAACAAACATCACTGCAAGTCCTGGTTCAGGCCCATGGCTAGAAGAATATTTCAGTAGTTTGACTTTAGCTGGTAATCCATTGCAGCAGTGATTTTTAAACTGAGCCAGGAGCCTGGCACCACCAGAGTTATTTGAAGGCTTTTACAAATATCACACATGGTGCCTCTTAACCTCCAAAACATCCCTAGTTTTAACCTCTAGCCCCATTGCTTTAAGGAGGTCCCTAGTGGTGAGTCCCTAACACTGACGAGGAAAATTACTTCTCTATTGAGGCAGGAAAAATTGAGAAAATTTGAGAAACACTGCATTGTAGATTTCATATGTGGCAACTTGTTTCTCCTAAAAAAGGAAAGAAAAAAAAAAGTTCCATTAAAAGGTGGTAGCTTGTGGGGAAATTTCTATGTATTTTAGATTCATACCATAGCTTACCCATTGTGAAATTTTTATGGTAAATTAACTACTCTCCTTCCTTAAAAGAAAATTAATTTTCTTGTAGGAAAGTTCCTGCTCTATTAAATGCAAAAAAAAAAAAAATGTCTACTTTTAGCTCTAGAATAGATATTTTATCTTTAAGTATTATTATATCATACTATAATAGTAAAGGTGACTTTCATTTATCAACAAATTTTGTTTTTAATTTCATATTAACATTTTTCATTTCAGTAAGTATTCCAGAACACGATGAGGCAGATGAGATAAGTGGTAGGTACTATGCTGCCGACTCTTCTTCCCTGACTATCAGCTCAAGATTTATGAAGTGTCAATATTTAAGTAATTTTCTTAGCCTCCACAATTTTGACTTGAATTAAAAATGAAACAAGATAGTAAGAATGCTAAAATTGTATCCTTTCAATTCAAAAGTTTGCATGTGACTAATAGTAGTGAGCCACAATCATTTTTAATAAGAATAACCAGATTGATTTCTTTCCAAAGAAATCCTTGCATTGTCTATAATCGCATGGGCCTTTCTTCTTTGTTGTAGATGAAAACAGAGAAAAGGTGAATGATCAGGCAAAGCTCATTGTGGGCATCGTCGTTGGTCTCCTCCTTGCTGCCCTCGTTGCTGGGGTTGTCTACTGGCTGTACATGAAGAAATCAAAGTAAGTTGTGTGGGAAAGATCTTCCTTGTTCATTGACATCCACTGCAAGGAAATGCAGTGTGTTAATTACACTCCCTCCAGCTGTAATTTCTATGATAGGAAAGAGAGTAGGGGGGTGAAGACGTGCTGAGGAATGGGAGTGGCCAAAGAGAGCTCAATGAGGGAAAAAGGAGACATATGCAATCCTTTAACATTAAAGAATTTAAATTAAAAAAAGAAAAAATAAGGTATCTTATTAAATTAAGTACAATTTCTACCATCAGACTTGAACATTCATTCAAATACCTGTTACTTAATGGAAAAGTGTTTAAACTTTTCAAGAGTTAATATTATTGATAATAATGCCAAAACCAGTTTGGCTCAGTGGATAGAGCATCGGCCTGAGAACTGAAAGGTCCCAGGTTCGATTCCGGTCAAGGGCATGTATTATTCCTTGGTTGCGAGCAGCAGATTGATGATTTCTAACTCTCTATCCTTCTCTCTTCCTCTCTGTAAAAAATCAATAAAATATATATATATTTTAAATATATAGATATATATATTATTGGTAATAAATTTCATTTATCATCCCAAGAACCAAAGTGTTTTCCTTATGAATTTGTGGCTCTCTTCAGGTTTGCTAAGTGCTTTGCTTTCCTGATTATTTTTAGCATGCTATTCCTTGCTGGTGTCCTCTGAGATAAGTCAGCATTTTGGCAATATGAATTATTATTAATCCTTTTGTCTAGTGTTCATTTTATATTAAAAGCCTTCAAGTTCAGAATTGCTAAGACTATTTTAGGCTTTATTATGTTCTCTTTCTTCCTCCTCTTCTAGATCATTTCTTAAACTTTACAAATTATTGTAAGGGTTTCATTTTTACCTATAGCTAATTCATCATCATTTTATATACATGTGATAAATTTTTAATAAAGATATGATCCAGACTTTCCCTCAGATACCAAAAAATATATATATATAGCCTTGTGTTCACCATCCTACAAAATAATATCATCAATAAACTTAGAGTCACTTATTGTTGCAAATAGCTTTGAGCAACAATTAAATTGTGAGTCAAATATTTCATTTAAAAGCCTCAATGATATAGGTAGCCCAGTGATGAAGTTCAAGAAATATTTAGGGAAGTTTTTGTATTGGCAATTTAAAAACTCATTTTAGAGAGATGAGAAAGACAAATCTTTTATACCCAAGTAGAATTTAAGAGTATATTTGTTAACATACCTAGTGGCTACCCAGCTAACATGTACTCCCCATTCCATTATTAGGAGCTATATATTTTTATATCCAATTTTAATATGGAGACCTGCAGCAAGAAGTGCTTAGCATGGTGCTTAGCATTTTGAAATGATATATTCATAGCAAAGTAAGAACTCTTAATTCCTCTGCTATTTTATTCATATAACTTCTCACTGGAAGTTTTTTTTTTCTTTTTTACTTGGAGATTTTTTTTTTTAGTAATGAGAATAGATATTTCCCTTATATGTAAGGTTTTTAACTAACAGTTCCAGGCTAAAGGCATTATTTGACTAAACCCACTCCATGTATAGTTGTTTAACATGTTGGAGAACATAGGAGATCTAGAGATAATTTAATAGTTTTTCAACTATTGACTCCTTTTCTCTTCATCCTGTCCTCCAAACATTGTTTTGAGCTCTGCAGGAATTTAATGTGACTATTTGAGTTTCAAATCCTCTCCGACATGGTTTATAGTACAATAACTAATGAAAAATTAAAAGAGCCAAAGATAAAGGGGGAAAGGCAGCATGATGTAGCCACAAACTTGTTCAGAGGTTTATTAAAACCATAACTTCCAGGTTTATTGCATTTAAGAGACCCCTAACCACCATACTTCTTATCACTAAGCTGGGAGTAAGCATTTACCAAACGTTTGTAATCTCAAAACACACATTGTCTGAGTATTAGGAACTTACCCGAGAGGTTTATCTTTTGCAACCCTGGAACTCATGACCATTTTCATGAAAATTAGTGAGTAATGTATAGGCCATCTGGAAATCTGAAAATTACAAATATGTTCTGTCAGTTCTGTCTTTACATAATGCTACATTATCCCACCACTGTATGAGGAAAAGGAAAAGACTGTTCTAAATTGGTGAAGGACTACAGAGGACTTTCCTGTAATACTGAAATGTTAAGAAACACTTCTGTGTTATATTAAGCCTTTCTAAAATCTTTCTCATTAGTATTTCTTGATGTATGGAATTAGGATCTCACAGAAGAGTTTATTTTAACTGAATGCTGTTTCCAATCCAATTAATACTCACTCTGATGAGGGAAGATTGACTCCCTACTGAATAAATAAAAAAGACAGGGTTGGGAGACCATTCATAACACATTTTAAATCTTTCCTCATTTATCATTAACTAAGCACCTACTACTTTTTGTTTTAATTATTATTTCTCATTTTTGTTCTTTTACTTAAATCCTCAATAATTTAATGAGGGGAATACAACTATTCCTGTTTTCATAGTATCAAAGGCTCAGTGAGATTAACTTGACCAAGCGTATTCCATATCTCATATATTTTCAAATATATTTTGGTGCCTTCTTTGCAATTAAAATTGCATACCTGACTTTGATGGCCTGCTGGCATTTAATATAGTGTTTGGGTTGGAGGGTGAGTTCTGAAGTTCAGGGCTGATCCAAGTTTGGCCTTCTTTCTCCTTTTCTATCCATGGTCTGGCAGGAGCCAGAAGGAAGAAAGGAAATTCCTCATTCTTCTATTGAACCAAAAATAATAGGGTAAACTAGAGGAAAAATAAGATCACAAGGAAATTACACAGTCCCCATCTAGTCAGTCACAAGGTGGGCAGAACCAACCATGGCTGTCCCCTCCACTATTACATGTGACCTGAAATATTTCCAAATGAAAGGGCTTGTGTCAAAATAGAACGTTTCCAAGTTTTTAAATTTCTTTGGTCTGTCTATATATATGCATTTTGTTCAAACATTTGTTTGTTTCAATTATCTTTTCAAAGGTAAAGAGAAGTCCTGTTCCCTTGTGCACCTGCCCATGGGCCAAGGCTATGTGCCAACCCAAAAGTAGCCACCTTAGGAATGCACTTCAAGCCTTGATGCAGAATGCATGCAGGTGGCATCCTGTTTTTATGCAAATTCAGTATAGTTATGTTTGTGTTGGCCTCCTCATCTTTTAAATGGGTGGTCCCCATATTTACTAGATGAAAAAGCCATTTTCTATTTCTTACTGAGGACAATAGGATTCCCTATTTAAATGGAGAGTTTCCTTGGAGACTTTTGGAAATTCTAAGGACATAAACTTGAAAGTTATAATAAGACCAACGATTCATTCTTAATTTCCTTCTTTAAATCCAGAAATTGCTGACAGAAATTATCCTCCTGAGATGCAGGGATTAGAGCCCTCCTCTCCTTCAACTAATTAATCTTGGGCCAACAGGAAACTCAGCCTGCTAACAGCTGTGACAAGGGAAGAGAAAAAAGAACTGTTCTCTTGGATGGGATTCTAATTACTTCTACAGATGTCAATAGCCAGCTTGCTGGAAGTGGCAATTCTACAGGACCAGGGTCCCAAGTCTTAAATACCCACAGGCCCATTGCCCTACTGTGGTGTGTTCCAGGAATACTACAAGTTAAAAATCACAGAAAATCTTTCTCAAATTAGAAAGTATTAATGACTTCTCATGCTGCCTCTGAGTTTTCAAATTCATTTTACACAAGCCTACATTTGGAAAAGCTAAAATCTTATGAGCTCTTTCATCTATGAATTGTTTTAAGTGGGATTTTTTGTTTTTTGTTTTTCAGGTATATAATTCTATTTTAATAGTTCATGTATCCTTTCAAATGATAGCACATTGCAAGATTGTGATGTATTAGCTATACCCACCACTCCCATGCTCTTCACTTTTGCTGCTTCCTCCATCCCCCACTAAATAATGTTTTAATTGGACTATAATTGACATGTAACACTGAGTAAGTTTAAGGGGTACAAAATGTATTGATTTGTTACATTTATATATTGAAATACGATTGCCATTGTAGCATTAGCTAACACCTCCATCAGGTCAAATAATTGTCATTTCATATTGTGGTGAGAACACTTAATATCTAGTCTCTTAGCAACATTGGAGCAAATTTAGGAGATGCCACCAGATTAGTCGATTCCCTTCTTTGAAGGAGATCTGGAAACAATGTTGGGGAAAATCTCTCAAAAAAAAGCTAACTCATTTCTAAAAAGTTATTTTAAAGTAACTTGAACCCTTGATCGGTACTTCAGTGATGGAAATAACACAGGTGAAGTGTCCAGACCAGGTTTAATTCTCTTCTGCTACTTCATAGCAAATGGCCTTAGGAATAGCTTCATGACTCACCTTCAACTTGGTGAGGCCCTGTCACCTGCTGGGGTCTCCCTTATATATCACACTGTCCTCACAATAGCCCTGTGTGTAGATCCTGTTGTTTCCCCCTTTATAGATGAGCAAGCATGCTTTAGAGGAGGGCCTGGTCCAAGGACTTTCAGCTCAGACTTGACACATGAGGATGAGAACCCAGGCCCAGTGGCCTCTTCTCTCCGCCTCCTGGCTTAGACTAGAGGGTCACCTCTAGGACTATTCCTAATGCTAATTTATTGGGATTCTATGATTTAAAATTTATCCCATATTAAGTTACAAAAATCAACTGGTGAAGAAAGTTTAAGACAAATAACCATATAATTAGTATTTTTTTTTTTTACCTAGGCATTCTTTCTTTATAAATGCTTAGCCTTGTCCCTCAAATCAATTGACTAAAAATATTTTTCTAAAGGGAATGATTTAAATAATTTTTTGTTCTCTTCCAGTCCTAGATGAATTTTTAACTTCTGTAATTCTTTCAAAACTGAATTTTACAAAAGGATACATCCATAAAATTATATTGATTTTTGCCACAGCAATCTCAAAGCCAAGCCAAAAGGGATCAGAATAATTTTTAAGGGTTTTTCTCTGCTGGGGAGAATGGATTCTCAGTCA